ATGGTGATGGTGGTGGTGGTGATGATACTGGTGATGGCAATTGCCAACATGGTGCCACTTCACTGCTACTAGCTTTGAGCAGTCATTTAATGATATGCTGCGGCCTTGTGCCTGACCTTGGTGCTCCACGCAGAGGTGTAGATGATGCCAGCCAGGCTCTGCTTGGGATGGAAAATCACCTGGCGCAGATTCGCAGCGGCGTGGAGCTCCAGCCGCTCACGGGTGCTGGCAGGGAGGGATGTCAGGTGGGTCAGAAGTTCGGCTGAGGTTGGGGGAGGAGGGCCTGTCCTGTGACAGCCCCCTTACTAGTCATGCTGCAAATCTGGAATCACAGAGTCTCCCAGGAGGAAAACAGTTGTTTCCTGAGCTTTGATCTTGAAACTCATAAAGTGAGCTTGTGAAGAATTCAAGCTGGTTGATCTCAATTACTGCATCTGCCTGCGGTGCAGATTCTGGCTCGTGGGTGCTGGGTGTCTAGGTACTGCTCAGAAAAGGTTCTCAGACCCACAAGGTGGCCTCTGACCCCAGGCTCCTTGGTCTGCTCTGGTGAGTCTGGTACTTTCTCAGCTATCAGGTTGGGGTCTCTCGATGGGTGTCACCCAGGAAGGACCATCTACCCTGGAAATCCCTGTCATTGTTCGAAGGTTACCTCCCCTCCATGAGTCACATATTCGTGATAGCCTATAGCTCAAGGGTGCAATGGTTTAGATGTCACTTGAGTTCTGCCTGGTAGTTTTTGCATTGCAATTTACTCATACATTCCTAAGGGTGATTTCTAAATTGCTTTGTCCTTGTCACCAGTGTCCGTTAGGTGTGTCTCTCTGCAAATATGGGGATAGACTGGTGTTATTTTCTCTGCACCCTGATGGCCAAGCTGGCTTGGGCAGCATGTGGTCCAACCAACCAAGGAAGCAAATCTAGGGACAGTGAAAGATTTCCTAAACACCGAAACTGGAGTAGGGGGAGGCTGGGAGCAGAGGTAGCCAAAAGGAGCAGGATCCGCTGCTGAAAGCCGCGATGGCAGTTTAAATGCTGAACCTCTCTTAATTAAGTTGTGGGATGTTTGCTAGCAGGGAAGTGAATCTGTCCTTAATTTAAAGATAGTTGTAGCAAATGACTCATGAACTTCAAAAGTTTCGAGTGTCTTAATTGGGATAAGAGCATCAAAGAACAAATGAGTGGTTGGAGCCCTGCGAAGCATCCTGGCTTTGTAGACCTCGAGGCTGGTCGTTAGAGTCCTAATTGGGACTTGGAGAATCGACACAGTCTGGCAGGTCCTGTGAGCCATGGTTTGAATAGTGACCTGCGGCACCACTCAATGGTCACAGGTGACAGCGCGTGCGGCGGGCACTCCCTGGACCTGTGCGGCCCCTGAGAACACTGCTACCTCTGCTTTTGCTGATTAGCGCTGAGCTACCCCAAGCAGATAAATGAGCTGCACCTCATTAGGGCCTCCCCATGAGGCTCTGCACAGGTCCCTTCCATTCCCCCGCCATGCACTCCTGCTCCAGGTTATTGCAGCCAGTGCCTCTTAAGCTTCTTTGTCCTCCTCTCTGTGAGGAGTTTAAAGATGCATTTGGGAAGCCAAGGCAGAGAAGACTGCAGAGAAATGGCAGAGAAGGATAGCAGAGGAAGTGTCGCAAAGACACACTTTCATGCACCCCAGCAGTTGCTGG